ATAGAACATCACATACAAAACCAACATTCATCACTAGACTTCTCTTCATCTATTTTCGTTACTTACAAGCAATACTCCCGAGTCTCTCAGCTGATAGAACATCACATACAGGACGAACCTTCATCACGAGGCTTCTCTTCGCCTATTTTGGTCACTTACAAGCAAAGCTGCCGAGTTCCTGAACTCATACAACATCACATAGCAAGCGAACATTCATCACCAGGCTTCTCTTCACCTGTTTTGGTCACTTACAAGCAATACTCCCGAGTCCCTCAGCTGATAGAACATCACATACTAGACGAACATTCATCATCAGACTTCTCTTCACCTATTTTGCTCACTTAGAAGCAAAACGTCCGACTCCGGCAGCTCATACAACATCACATAGGAAGCGAACATTCATCACAAGACTTCTCTTCACCTATTGTGCTCACTTAGAAGCAAAACGTCCGACTCCGGCAGCTCATACAACATCACATAGGAAGCGAACATTCATCACAAGACTTCTCTTCACCTATTGTGCTCACTTACAGGGAAAACGTCCGACTCCCTCAGCTCATATCACATCACATACCGAATGAACATTCCTAAAAAGACTTCTCTTTACCTATTATGCTCACTTACAAGCAAAGCTTCCGAGTTCCTGAACTCATGCAACATCACATAGCAAGCGAACATTCATCAGGATACTTGTCTTCAGTTGTTTTGCTCACTTACAAGCAAAGCGTCTGACTCCCTCAGCTCATATAACATCACATAACTGACGAAACTTCATCATCAGACTTCTGTTCACCCATTTTGCTCACTTACAAGCAAAGCTTCGGACGCCCTCAGCTCATGTAACATCACATACTAAACGAGAACTAATAATAATGCTTCTTCTCACCTATTTTACTCACTTACAAGCAAGGCTTCGGAGTCTGAACTGATACAACATCACATAGCAAGCGAACAGTCATCACAAGACTTCTCTTCCCCTATTGTGCTCACTTACAATAAAAAGTTCCGACTCCCTCAACGGAAACAACATCACATACCAAGCGAACATTCCTGAAAAGACTTCTTTTCATCTGGTTTGCTCGCTTGCAAGCAAAGCTTCCGACTTCCTCAAGTCTTACAACATCGCATGGCAAACCATGACTCAGAACAACATGTTGCAGCAACCATCTATTCACTCATCACAGCTGCCTGTAAGCAAATTTTTTTCACAAGAATTACATAATCTCTCAGGCAATAAATGAATACATATGATCAATATAATGCATGTCTATTTTCATGAATATGATATAAATGTTCGAGCATCTTTAGTTAATTCATTATCACACATCAATTGAATAACCCTAAAGAGAGTTCTGTTCGGCTTTTTCATTTATTTTATTTCAAAATAAATGCATTCACTACAGTTGAAAGACTATTGCACAAATTATAAATAGCAATAACGCTTCTTGAAGTTTTTCACATGAATCTCTTCATCTATGTTTTCATCTCATATTAAAAGTTCACTTAAATGTTATGAATTGATGAGCACATAAAATGTGAATGCTTCATATATCTAAATATACATTTATATATTTTCTTTCATGCATATAAAAGATAATAGATTTTTGATTGCATAAAGGATAGCACATTAAATTATTCATTCTTACCAGTGTGTTGTTCATCTATCTTTCGCATTAGGAGATCAAGATTAAGATTGCTGCTACTGATGAATGATTTTGTGACCAGTGGACATGTTTTATCGAGATTTGATTCATTTACATTGTGGAATTCGAAATAAAACATCAGAATTACATGAAATCAAAACAGACCTCATGGTACCTGAACAATATTTCGCCAAAATTTTCGTTCTAGTATTTCATCAGATAACTAAATAAATCATTTAAATTAATGTACTATTAGAAGGCAATGAGTTTTATGGACTAAGACAACGCTCTATATCTTCCACTTTCCAATAGTTCCATTCAATTTAACTGTAATCATTAAGACAAACGATTCGAGAATAAGTTCTCGTTAAACATCATAAAGTTCAGGATCAGTCAAAATTCTTATAATGACACCGTTTATTCATTATATTCACTTTGTTTCTC